CCACCTGCTTCTTTTCCAACTTCTTCCCTTCGGCTGCTCTCTTCCTTGGCGTCACTGTAATCGTACTGTCACCGGTATTCTTTTTCAAGCTGATTCCCTCATTAATACTATTTGATACCCCTAGCGGTGATGTAGCAGCCGAATGTACATTTGTCATTGGTTCATGATCATTCTGATCCGACTTACTGTCCTTTACATCCGTCTTCCTTTCTCCTTTTGTATCAATGATTTCGTCATTCTTATCCTCACTCTTGATCAGTCCGTCTCGCGTGTCTTTTGAGATGGACTTTTTTGATTGTGATGATGACGTTGATTGGGGAGCCGCAGAGCAGGAAGAGGAAGAAGACGGTCCGTTTTGAGATGACGGTTCTGTAAATGATACGTCGGATGGTTTGGCGGAAGCGTGGATTTTGGTCATTAAACGAGCGTGCTTGGCATAGTCATCGTAATTTTCGAGAAGGAGACGACCAGCTTCTTCATTTAATGCTGATTCTGCGTTTGGGATAATCAGAAGGCATTTCACCGTCTTGTTGCGGAAACACATAGATGCAATAAGCCAACGATCAGATCATAATCAATCATAATTAGAGGGAAATGGTAAGCTTAATTGTTGACGTGTTTACAACTCTAAAAGTCGCCAATTGCCTGCAATATTTTTTTTGTTTTGATTCACATACCAATAATATATGATTTATACCTAAATCCTTATTCCAATCTTTCTTCAAAGTATTTACACAAACTTCTCCTGCCTTCGATACATTTGGATGAAATATTTTTGTAACAATATAACCTACAATACAAGATATTTTACATGGCTTCTCAACAGACCTACGCAAAACGTAAAAACCCACACACAATGCCACCACCATCCCATTCCGCAAATAACCACCACTTCATCGTTTATATCACAGTACATTTAGGAGGTACTGAGGGAAAGTCTGTTCCCAATATTAGCTTCACTTTAAAGTAGCCATTCTGATATGGTGTTCCTTCTGTTAAATAAAACCGTTCTCAGCAAAAGTTGGTTGTCGGCCTACTTATTGATATATCAAGTCTAAACAATTACCGGGTCCCATGATCCAAGCTTGTATGTCACATATATCGTCGTCCTTTACAATGACTCGAATTCCCTCCGGTGGATTTGACAGTAGCGCGTATAACTCGTGTGAGATACGCCTAATTACTGCTGGCGAAATATTTTCAATAGACGACTACTTCGGTCATTACGAAACGAACGTGTATGCGGTTAGATACAGCATTAATCTTATCAATAACAGCAATTTGCGACAATTCAACTTATGATTACCATGTTTAATGCACTAAAGAGAGTGAAGACAGAATCGTTATTGTCAATGCTAGTCTTGTGTCTAAAGAGCGTTGTGTTATCAGAACTCCACGACACTACGGAAATATTGTTTATTTTTTTGTTTATCGCTGGGTCTGATTACGATATTAATTAATATATTAGGTAGTTGTTGTGATGATCAGGTGATTATAGCGATTGGCTCACATCTCCACTAACCGCAGGCTACGCATTAATAAAAAAGCTTGCTTTCGAAAATATGGACATAATATTAGCGTAAGTGGGGATCGTTGAAATATGGTAACTTGTCGGCTGAATTGATGATAGTCTTTGGACGCAGTTACTACTAATAATATTTGAGCATGAGACACCAGAGACTGAAAAACGTTATCGTACTCACATCTTAAAAAAAGAATTTGCATCTTTGTTATACTAATACATTATTCGAACATTGTTACGCAGAGATGTAAAAGTTTTAGTACGTGGCCAAACCCCCTTAGATTTCGAAACATTAGTTCAGTTATCGAGTGACTACATGTGAAGGTTCATTATTAATTTTAACATAGCCAGTGAACATTATTTGATACATCCCACGCGAGATTAAAATCACTTTAATGAAAAGAGTTCGCCATAGCGCTCAATGAACTTATTGAGAATACTTAGTCTTGAGCGTTTCAACGTAGGCAATATAAGCGGCCTGAGCGTCTTCTTTGGACATGCCTGAACATCGATAGATATTTGGTTATGTAAAAGGACATATAATTCACACATTAAGCTTCGGTTCAACATTACCATTATTGTCCGACCAAGCCGTCCATTTAGCTTTTTCTCTGACTTGCATTATACCCGGTTTATCTATATATGATCGGAGGAACATGAAAGTAAAAAACGTGAACACATTAGACACAAGGACAGATATATGTATTACGTACCGGTGACAGTACGATTACAGTGACGCCAAGGAAGAGAGCAGCCGAAGGGAAGAAGTTGGAAAAGAAGCAGGTGG